GCAGGTGGTTGCGGATTAGGTGGAATTCCATAGAATTTATATGCTGGACAACTAACGTAACATGCAGACTTCCATGTATAAACTGATCCATAAGCCAGTGGTTGCCCATGTAGGAATCAGGACTTCCTTAGGGGATTATTCAGAGGGATCTCGAAATGATTAACAAGAATGGAAAGCACAAGAAATACCCAAAGATTTATCCTCTGGGGATGAATGAATGTAGCACGAAGGCTGCGTTTTGCTGCCTCTGGATCTTGGATGTAGTCGAGAGAACCAGAGAAAGGTGGGTTTTCCACGACACATGCATATGACAGACTTTACATCTGGGAAAGCTTAACAGACACGAAACCACTTTGGTTTAAAAATTCATCACTTTAAGGTTTAAACCACCCTTAGAAAAGTCCTAGTAACAGCAATATGGCAACAAAATCCAGCTTTCTTGGTGCATCAATGGATTCCACTCAGCAGAGATGTCATTACAAAAGCATGCCAAGAGATTCAGCAAAAACAACATTTCAAGGGGTATTCAGTAGAAAAGAAGTTGATTACTAGTGCATTTTGTTTATAAACTGTATACAGAAGATGGATGTAGTCTTCGTGTCTGAGAAGTAAAACCAATGCTGAGGTGACTGAAATCTGCATTTTCTCCAACAGCCAGCAGGGGGCGACTCCTCTGGTTGCAAAGAGAAACCTGATTGTACAGAAGTCTATGAGAAAATGACTAATTCTCACTTGATCTGTTACCTTAGTAAACATTTTCTCCATGAGTTTATGGTTTCAATCCCTAGTTTTAAGCCTACTTGAATATAGCATGATGGTCATTACGTAAATTATGGCAGGATATGAAGTAAAATACACAACAAATCAGGGTAAGTTTTAGGGCTGACAAGTCACTGGCATGTTCTTAGGTTTACAGTCAGATCCACCTCTTGATTGTCATGTAAAATTCCAGACTCCAAAATGGTAGTCCACAACCAATGGGAGACCACGTCCATCTTTCTTATATAGTCTAAGGTTTTGACCTGTTAGCTACATAGACAGATAACATTGCTCGGTCTGTTTGTATCTCCAACATTTTGGTTCATAGACACATATCTTAATAACTAAAACCCAAAATGCCATGCCAGCTTGTTGTGGAAAGTCATGGTTGCCAGACAATAACCCTCTTTTATTTGATATCCATTTCTGCAGATGCCATTCTCCAATCAAAAATGTTAAAGACCAGGTTTCCAT